AAAAAAATGTAAAACAGGAAAAATTATCTTGCAACATAATTTCATGTACTTGAAATATTTTAGAGCCAGTAATTGTTTTCTTGAATGATATTTAAACAAGTCATGACTTCATAAACAAGTGATCTTATGAAAATTCAACAATAACTGTATATACCATACTCTTATTGGTACTCAAATAGTATAGACGTTGTTTTAGATAAATTTAAATCATAGGAAGCTGCTAATGCATTAACAGAAGTTCTGTAAAGACAAAATTGTGAGATAGAATGTTTAGAAAAGTCTTACAAGTATATATTCATGCATGAATACAGAATGCATTATGTACATATGTCTGTCCAGGTATTCAGATATGAATATGGATGTGTTTGTGAAAATATTAAAGCATTTACTAAATTTTACATCCTCCAATTGTGGAGAGAACTATTTTTATGAGTTCAGCTGCATTCTGATACTGCTATATAGTATGTGCGTTGTAGGAAAGTTATTTGTCTGATTGGGAATACAATCAAAGAACACTGCAGTTCTATAGTTACGAAAGGCTATCAAACACAGAACCAACTGGATGAATTTCTAAATGTTCACCATCATGCAACCCTTGACTAATTTAAGCTGTAATGCATATTTCATTATGAATGCGGGAGTTAGGGAGCAGATCATTACTTTTTTATACCATTTACTAGGCGCAGGTGGAAAGTCATAATTACTGTATAGATTGACTCACAGCAGTGAGAAGTCCAAGGAAGCATCTTTGGCAACCATGTGGAAAAAGGCAAAAAGCCTGAAAATGATTACAGCAAATTATAAATATTTCTGATGGGAGAGTATGTCTAGGAATGTTACATACCCTATTCCTTGAATACCATTTAATATTTAGTGGAACCATTTTTTGCCTTTGTGCTTGTTTTTGAGGATCACTTATCATGCATGGAATGTGAAGTGCATCTATGTCAGTTGATGAGCAAAGGAATAATAAAATAAGAATTCAAACAAGTTGCCATTGCCTTCCATTGATGTTCTTTGGCTATCAGTGTTTCTGAAGAAGAATGGGTTTAAACTTGAAAACATAACAACATTGTGACACCAGAGAAGCCTGTTACTGTACATAATCATATGGGGAGGATCTCTAATGTTAGCCAGAGCCCTGACTTGGGCTATGTATTGCTCACCTATATCATTATTAAACCAACCTTCACTTGCACAATATTTTCCAAGAATGATTCATAAATGGTTTTCCTGTACTGTAGAATGTTTGATAAATATTTTCAAAATAAAACGCCATCTAGCTGAATTTGGAAAAGTGGTAAAGAAAATAATCATATATAACAAAATTCAACCATTTACCAATGCTGCCACATAACCCTTTTTCTGTTTGTGAAGTCAAATAATGTATAAGTTTGCTATATTCAAATACTGTATTATCTTACACATGAATACATTTAAATGAGCCCAATGAGACTGCAACTAGAGAAGCTGGGAACTGACACAGATTATGAACCACCCTTGTACATAAGTTTCCACATGACTCCCCATCTTATCTGTTGGAAAAGTCGAGGAATACTGTGGATCCATTTTTAAGAGCAAAACTTTAATGCAATTAAATCAAATTGAAATTTTGCTCCAAAAAATGAAAATGTGACCATGGATTCAACAAGAATGAAGTCAAATGACAAACAGGAAACTGACCAAGATCCACTCTTCATGTTACCACAGCATTTGTTACATAGTCTTTTGGCAATGCCAAAGAATATAATCATTATCAGTATATGTATTCAAATCATATATTACTCTGTTGAAAGTGCACCCAGATTCAAGCATTCAAGTCCAAATAGGAAAAAAAACCATGAATTACGATTGATAAAGGCTTTAAACCAAATCTCATGAAGATGTTCACCACTACAACAGCTAAGTTATCTTCTGGTGAGGTCAAAAGAGATGTACATTATGTCACATACACAGTTGATAGATTCCATCATTCAATGTGTCCACGTTATGATAGACTGTATTGTCCTGTAGTTCCAAGCCTTCTGGTGTGCTCAAAATTCTGATGACCTTTCTGTGTTTTCAAGAACCATCATTTAAGCCTTGGATGACAACAACCTCTTCCCATTATGTGGCAAAGTCTATTTTTTTGCCCATAGGTGCATTTAAGGTTGACCCAAGGTCACTGAACTTTACCTGGATTGAGAAGGCCTAAGTTTGGAAAAATCCAAGAATAATGATTTTTTTATTACAAAAATCTCCAAGATATGCTAATCCTATGCTAGGACTGCAGGAAAAAATTCACCTAGTGAGCATTGTTTAGGGCAACATTTTCTGCAGGGTTATGAAAAATATGGATTTTTTCTCAACTTGGGCTTTGGTACACAAATATGATAGTTAATAATTTCAGTGCTCATGGACACAGAATTTTGCAAAAAAATATCCCCACTTCGCAGCACAAGGGTTAAGAAGTGTTGCACAGATTCTCATTGTGCGCTGACAAGGAAGCACCCGCTGGCAACGCTGGCGTCCAGTGTTGCGGTGTGTCACCCATCCCATCCCCGCCGGCACACCAGGAATGTTTCACAGTTTGCGGAGAAATAGCGGTGTATCTCCCCGGGTATTCAAGTCCAAATAGGAAAAAAAACCATGAATTACGATTGATAAAGGCTTTAAACCAAATCTCATGAAGATGTTCACCACTACAACAGCTAAGTTATCTTCTGGTGAGGTCAAAAGAGATGTACATCATGTCACATACACAGTTGATAGATTACATCATTCGATGTGTCCACGTTATGATAGACTGTATTGTCCTGTAGTTCCAGGCCTTCTGGTGTGCTCAAAATTCTGATGACCTTTTTGTGTTTTGAAGAACCATCATTTAAGCCTTGGATGACAACAACCTCTTTCCATTATGTGTGGCAAAGTCTATTTTTTTGCCCATAGGTGCATTTAAGGTTGACCCAAGGTCACTGAACTTTGCCTGGATTGAGAAGGCCTCAGTTTGGAAAAATCCAAGAATAGTGATTTTTTTATTTCAAAAATCTCCAATATATGCTAATCCTATGCTAGGACTTCAAGCAAAAATTCACCCAGTGAGCATTGTTTAGGGCAAAAATTTCTGCAGGGTTAAAAAAGATATTGGATTTTTTCTCAACTTGCGCCTTGGTACACAAATATGATATTTACTATTTTCAGTGCTTGTGGACACAGAATTTTGCAAAAAAATATCCCGACTTCGTAGCACAAGGGTTAAGAAGTGTTGCACAGATTCTCGATGTAGCGACTGTTCCTTCGTGGGCGACCGTTGCGACCGCAGGTCACAACGCCACACAGTGGGTAGGGTAGGGGCGGCCGTGTGGTCCTTACAAAGTGTCAAACGCCTCTTTATCGCCACATAGAGGGGCCCTCTCGTCTGCCTTGTACGCGCCATGCCAGCCGGTTCTCCGCTGGTGCCGTGAATGAGAGGACATTCACCTCAGGCCGCCCTCGCCGGAGTTTGGCCGATATTCCAAGCCAGAGGAACAAACGCGGGGCTGAAATGATGACACACACACACTCACGGACAAGCAGTGTGTTCGGATGAAGGGAATGTAACGGGATCTTACGTGATTCCGCGGATAGAGGGCGCGCGACGAGGGAGGATGAGAGGGAGGTGGAGTGATGTGTGTGTGTGTATGTACCAACCACGACCTGTCCTGTCCTATCCTGTCCTGTCGGTCGGTCAGCAGCCGGAACAGACTGTGCGTTTCCGACGACACTGCTGGTACCGGATACAGTGACACAACCCTTTTGCACTCGCTGTAGATATAATATGATGTATCAAGGCAAGAGACGACAGTTCATTTTGCCCAAATGTATATCCGTGAAATTGTACGGTAAAGTACCTTTGGATAAACTGTAAGAATTAACACGGGTGAGACCAAAACATTTTTCATTCTTAGGGTGGGATACTACATGATACTTTCAAAATTTTCACATCATCAGTAAAACCGAACCACGCAGATTCATTTCAAACACACAAATACGAATCCCTTTTTTGCGAATGGCAAGAGAGCAAAAATTTTCTCCCTAGGTTTTGTGAAGGAATTTTCCACATGTTTTAGCACTACGTTTGGTTGGACCAAAAAACGCATTTTTCTCTGGACTTGGATACCATTAAAGCCAATTGATGTGTTTTTACAGGTGCTTTTACTCATTCGTTCATGTGATCCAAGTTTGTTGGAAAAATGTACTGTACTGTATTCCGAAAAAATTTTGGGGGGCATGGCTTTAAAAAGGATTTTTACGAGCGACATCTATACATCAATGTACCCGAGAACAGCGGATTGTTCAATGAGCACTACAAATCCAGACTGAATATTTAAGCAATTGTTGCATCATGGGATTACAGACATAACTTGTTCAGCTGATGAACAATACAGAATAAAGAACATAACGATCGCAGTACAGAACAGTCCCATGTGCGGGATGATGTTGTGTTGAAGTAGAATGGAAACCAGATGTCACTAGAAGCTTCGTCTATACGGTACGACAGACATGCCCCCCCCCCCCTATTCGAGATCTCGAGCGAATCGTAGTTGAATCCGTCGGGGAAAGCAATTGGAATACCGTCCTAAAAGCACCTTAGAACTCGACGGGGACTGAACATGCCCATAAAGCAAGTGTCTTAATGAGACGGGTACACAATTTAGTATCACAGCTTAATGGGCCACCTTATTCACAGAAGCAGTACCTCTTCACGAAAGCTCACAAACTTCCGACTGACGAAGAACTGACCGTTGAAGAAGTAAATTTGAGTTCCGTCACTTTAACGGCTGCGGCGTTCCAGTACGGAAAATACTGCGAAAACTACAACAATGTGATGTTTGGTTCATTCGTGAAATCACGAAACAGGTGATGATGATGTTATATAATTTGCAGGAATTTATGTTGTGTCGTCGAGAAGAAAAGGACCCTAGAAAGTGTTTGGATGAAGGAAAGCTCGTCACTTCTTGTGCGTTGGAATTCTTCCGCAAGGTGAAGAAAAGCTGTTCGGCAGAACTCGCTGATTACTCGTACTGCCTGGACAAATCCTCGACGAACTTGGATCCTTCAAAGTGAATTATTTTGCTAAATTGTTCCTTGCGTTTGTGAGGCTCATTTGTTTCGCTTGATCAGATGCCGTAGAACGCAAGGTGTGTACGACCAGTGTATCCTAGACAATTTGGGGATTGAGCGTCCTCACTTCGGGTACTTCTCTCGCGCCAAGGTGCACCACACCGAGAGACCACGACCGCCAGTTCTTGGCGTTCCCGAAGGCGGCGAGTTCCCGAACAAGCCCGACGGACTCCCAGACGATTTCCCCATGTCGAAACCCGCCTACGGAAATCGCAGATTTATGTAATATGAATTGGTGATCGTCACGGGCAGTTAGCCCCTTTGATAACTAACAAAGGGCATCAACCACGTTAAGAACACGAGGAGCCGCATGGGCGCTCAGACGAGATCGAGACAGCGTACATATTACTTTCACAACTTGGTCATTTAATTTGGATTCAAATTTCTGCTTGAAAGTTAGGGACGTATTGTGTTTTGCATCCGAACGATTCTCCATCTTCCGTCAGAAACACACGTAAGAGAAGGCACCTGTTAACATTACAGGAAACAGTGAAGAGATTTGTGCGTGCATTTTGTAGCATACCTTATATTTCGCCTAATTTTTCTGTCCTCCTCGTTAGATCGAATATCGGATTTAGTCAGATTTCAGTAGATGCTGCAGAGACCACTTCAACAGAGGTTTTCAAAGCTTTGGTTTGCTTCTAGTGATCGAAATGTCGTAGATTCTCTCAGAACAGCATTTTTCTTCGAGGTATCGCGTATTAGGAGATATTCCCCTGCCGTTTTCACGTTTAATGTGCGAATTGAGTGATTGGAATCAAACAGACCTAAGCTCAGACTAAATCGAGCGAACCTGTGACATCATTTGGTTTGTTCATGTGAAACTAAACAAACGTCAGTTTTTGAGGTGTCATGCCTGATCTAACCTCAGAATAAAATTGGTTGAAAATTTAGCTTTGTTTTTGTCTCATAGATGTCGCCAATTCACGTGACAGCTTCAATACAACGTTGAGGAATAATTTCTTGAACAACTGCCGAGTATTTATGCTGGATGAATAACTACCCAGTCAGCTGATGCAAAAGAACACTTTTATTCATGATCAGATGTTCAAAAGTATTGATCGAGTCACGGAAAATTGTTCTAGATGAGTCCGAGCGTGGTGAGGTTCCATACAATGATCATGGAGTTGACTGCGTTGAAAACGCTGTTTATGTGATCCGTATCCGTGGCTGTGGTGTAATGCCAGTAAACGTCTGGTCCGGATCGCAGACGCCTTGCTTGTTCGAGGTTTCCGACTCCTTTCCTCCTCTTCTTGTTCTTGTTGCTTGACAACGGGTCTCTCGTCTTATTCTAAAATCGAATTTTCCTTTAGAAACGTGGTTCTGAGATGAAAGGATGATGCATAATCACCAGGAACTTATCACGGATGAATGCACGAGCCCGGAGGTAAACGAAATCTTCATCGCCGACCAAATCTGGGGAATTTGATAATTTATGTCACTGAACTATGACAAGTATCGACTGCTATGTTTTCGACACGCAGTTTGATTTGTTGTATGTACCGTAATTTTTACTCAAGACCTTCAAATTTTTTAAAAATTGTGATTGATGTTAAAATAAAAGGAAGTGTTCTTCGGGCCAGCAGATTTTATTAAGCAGCCCTCCGTTACAGCAGGTAACTAAATTCTTTAATTTTAAAACGTGTTTCCAAAAATGTTGGACATTTCTGCGTTCAAAGCTTCTTTTCTGTGCATTGCAAAATATTTCAAGAGGTGAATATTATTTTACGCTGTCTTCATATGCTTTTTTTTTTAACTCAAGTGTTAACAATTTTTCTGAGTTGTTTTTCTGAAGAGGAGGGAAATAATAATGAAACATTACAGTTGGACCTTTCTGACTCACAACTCCCCCAAGTCAAAACACTTCCTGTGTTAAATTTGTGCTTATTCCCTGTTATAATCTTCCTTGGAACAATGTACAGTATTACAGGTGAACTTCCTACAGAGACGTTTGACTGTACAGATGGACTCTCTCTGCAATAAAATTCAAGGGACTGGAAGAAACTTGTTGTGGAGAGAATTTCAGTTTAGAGAACCCCATGAGATCAAAACTAATTTTTTTTACTGAGAACATTTTTGTTGACAAGATTGTTGTAGAGAGAGTCCACCTGTTATATATATGAATACTGGAGTGAATCATCCATTTTCCCTCTGTTCAAAAATAAAAACTTTGGAAAGCTGCCAACACAAAAGCTAAAGAAGCTAATTAAATCAGTATAGATTACATTAATACTGTATTTACTTGAGTATCACGCGCACCTTTTTTCCCAAATTTCAGAAGAAAAAAAGGGGTGTGCGTCATAAGCAGGTACAAAATTTTCAAGAAGTTTTAAAAGTTATGTATATATTATACTTAATTATAATAGAGAAATTTGGAACAAATATAACAAGAAAACATTTTTGTTTTGAAAAAGTTGAAAATTGATCAGAGTTTTGTTCAATTCATGCCGAAAGTCATGCCCAATTTTTCACAAATTTTTTTGAAAAATTGGGGTGCATGTCTTACTTGGGGATAAGATTTTTGCAAAATTTTCAACTGAAAAACCCCTGTGCGTGCCTTACTTGAGGGCGCATGGTACTTGAGTAAATATGGTATTAACCTCATGATGCACATAAAAAAGGACTTGAGCTAGGAATGCGGAATTCTCAACATTTTTGAAAACAAATTTCAAAGTTGTTGATGATTTTGCTGAAACCTTTAAAAAATTTCTTTCAGCCGACATTTTTAAAAAGAAAATTTGACATTTTCATCTGTCTCATTCCTGTTGGGGGGAAAAAAAAAGCTGTTCAGTTTATTTACACTTATTCTTTTATTGTTGTACCTTTGGAATTTGGGCGGTAGTCCCTGAATTCGGGGTAGTGACTGAGCAGCGACTCCCCTCGGTCTCTGCTGATTTTCTCCTTGAGAATGTCTTGCTTGTTGAGAAACAGGATGAAACCGGAAGTGCTCAAATACGGCGACTCCCACATGGCCGTGAAGAAGTTGAGCGACTCCTCCATCCGATTGAAGGTCTTGTCTTCGCGCAAAGTACGATCGTAGCCGATGGATGACACGAGGAACAACACTACCTGGATATCTGCGAAAACCCGGGCAATCTGGTGGCGATATTCCCGTTGACCGCCGACGTCGTACATCCAAAACTGTTGCGTCCCGCCGCCGTTTTTCGGCGGCACTGCTATGGAGAATTCCACCTTTTGCAGACCCGTGGTTTCGCGGCGGCAGTGCAAAATGTCCTGGTTGCTCGGCACGTAGTCGGGCTGGGCGATTTCGCCGATTTTGTCGAGAATGCTGATTAGGTGGATCAAAATTTCATATGCAGTCAAACCCCGTTAAGACGCCCCCGATAAAGCGCCACCCTCAGCAACCGCCAAAATTTCCCGTGTTAAATTCTATAGAAAACCTCAATAAGATGCCAATAACCGCCATACGCCAGCATTAGCAATTCAACAAAAGTGCTGTTTCCTATTAGTTTTGTCTTTGTTACAATGCCAATATTGGGATAGAATTATAATTTCTGTCAAGGATCTTGTATTTGTACAAAAAAAGATCATTATGTTGAAAATTTTGAACAATATATTGACCTAATCTTAAAATTTGAATAAATTTATGCAGCAAAATAAATTTCTGAAGGAGTAATCCATTGATCACAGCAATACTCTTTGGAAAATTACAGAAGTTTCTATACAAAACCTGTATCTCTATGACTTTTGGAGGAAAATCAAGTATTTTCAATTATGCAGCAAAATAAATTTCTGAAGGAGTAATCCATTGATCACAGCAATACTCTTTGGAAAATTACAGAAGTTTCTATACAAAACCTGTATCTCTATGACTTTTGGAGGAAAATCAAGTATTTTCAATCAAATAATTTAAAATTAAATATTTGATAAACTGCCAACCCCTTTAAACTGCAAAAATTGCTCTGGACAAATGGTGGCATCTTATTGGGGTTTGACTGCATTTATTTTTTTAGTGGAAAATAAGACAAATTTTCAGAGAGGGGTTTCTCAAAAGTCATAAACAAAATGGATCTAGGGCTGTTTGAGACAGAACTGCAGTATTTGCAAAATGAATTTGATTCGTTATTTCTCTCTCATGTATCATATTGAAGGTGGGGAAAGGAACAAAAATTTCACTGTTTTGTCAAAAGTGAGGCTGATTTTATTTTCCATTCAAGTTACAGCCATAATTTTGGGGGAAAAAATTGCATGAAAATCCTGTAACTATTTTCATAGGTGAAATTGTCACACCGAAATTTCCATGAACTCTTGAAAAAATTGTGTTACAATAAATGACTCACTAACGAGCGCTGTCAATGAGATGGTATTCATTTTCCCGCACAACAGCCTGTTGGACTCCTTCATCTTTCCACAGGCATTTCAAATGCTCCGCCGTTTGCTATTAAAGAAAAAAAATAATAAAATGATGAAAAAAATGCTGAGTACAAGATTGTACCACTTGATTTATTTGTGATTGGAGCCATTTATGACAAATACTGTACAGATGGTACCTCGCAATTTGACCCTAATCCATTGCCAAACTAGAGTCAAATTGAAAAGTGGTCAAATTGCAAAACACTGAAATTCATTAACATCAGTACATACGGTAAATGCAAAAAATCTCAAAAGCATTTAAATTGTGGGGCAAGGGTCAAGTTGCAAATCAACCTCCCTTCAAATTTGACCATCAAATTGCGGAATGGTTGAATTGTGGCAGGTAAAATTGCAAGGCACCACCTGTGCACTGCATTCATGAAAAGACTTAAAAAATGTTGCATAAAACCTGAGACACATTTACATTTTTAAGCAATGGCACAGAATTGGGATCTTATTCAGCAAACTGATGATAGAAGAACAAAGTGAGAAAAGTAAAAAAAAATAGGTGTCAAAACACACAATGCCAAAAAATCCTCTTTTTGAACCCTATTCAGATTTGATGTCTCAATTGCTTTTAGCATAAATTAATGCAGAAAAGTAAAAAAAATAGGTGTCAAAACACACAATGCCAATAAATTCTCTTTCTGAACTCAATTCAAATTTAATGTCTCAACTGCTGTTAGCATAAATTGATGCAACAGTCCAAATTCATGCTTTCAAAATTTCTGAAAGACTTCCTGCGATGGATTCAAATTCTTGATTATTCTTATTTTGAACCTTTTCTCTTTGTCAGTTTGTCTATGCTTGAGTTTGTTGCGTAATTCTTCCCAAAAGTTGAAAACAATAATCTACTACATCGTATGTTATGGGTTTCCTTCAGAGTTCATAAATTCTCAACCTTATCAAAGACGAAATCCTCATGGTTGACGTCAATGTCGTAGAAATATTCCCTGGATATTTCATTTCGAGGATTCCTGAGTGGAATTGCAGGTTCAACAGTCTCCATGAAATCAAGGATTGTTTGCATTGCGTCCACACCATTGCGCTTCAACTGGTCTAAATACGTGAGCTTTTCTCTAAAAAAAAATTTGAAAAAATAAATCCAAAGTTTTATTCACTAAATCCCTCATTTTACTAAAAGGTATACAGTATATAACAGTGGGGCCCCCAGATGTGGACATTATTGGTGCTTGGACCTTGTCCCCTATGTCAGAGCATCTGCATTACTTGGGATCACATTTGTACAATGGAAAAAATGCTTCCAAAAATTGAATAAAAATTAGTTTTCAACTTCAAGATGCACAGAATAACTATGCAGAAGGTGAACACCCAGAATCTGATCTTTTGGCATCAAAAGGAGCTCAAAAGAAGCAACAAGCAATCCTTGCTACTGTGAACAGATGATGGAAAAACCACAAAATTGTCTGTACAGAATTTGATCATGAATTTGAGAACATTTTTATAATTTATTTTTTAATTTTTGTGAATACTGTATAAAAAGCTCAATTTTTAAAAGAGATATCCAAATTTTGAAAAATGAAATGTTCCCATTTTATAGAAATGTAGGGAAAATGTCCTTATCTTGATGCATGGTCCACAATGTGGGGGCAGATTTTTTGAGTTTTAAAAGTCATTAAGTCAAATTGTCCATATGTGTCAGGGTGTCACTGTGAAAATAAGATGTGGGTTGGAATCTGTAAGATTTCATTCCCTCTTATGAAAACTTAGAATTTATATAGTAAACTGAGTCAAGGATCTGTAATAAAAATTCAAAATCTGAAGATCCTGTTTTAGGACTGATTGCCAAGATTTCACCTTGAATTTCTGCGTAGGGGCATTTTTGGCAGTACAGTATAGAGTTGTGCATAGGTAAAGAAATAATGCAAATTTTGAGTTTAAAAAATTAAGAAGCACAACATGTACCAGAATCCATGGTGTCTCACCAACAGATGAATGTATATGGTATCAAATGTTGGTGCTGCTTGTAAATCGCTGGGGAACGAGGATAAGGTGAGACAGATAACCCTGGGATGCAGTGAGATAAAAACCTTTTTGTGGAAAAGTGGATTTTTGTGGTTGTTTTGAAAAACAATTTGTCTTACTCGCTGCTGAAGCCTTGAATGTGCAGGATTTTCATCTGCTTGAGGATAGTTGTTTTTCCAGATTCTCCTGCCCCTGGAACAATAAATTGACACTGGCATTTCATATTTGTTTTAATTTTAGAATTGGCAAAGGAAATTTCCAAGCATTAGAAACATAGGAAACATTTACTGTACAATAGCTTCACATTTCCAAAAAAGTGGACTTTTTGCTGCTGACAAAAATAGTGCAGAAAAGCTTGATTTTGGCAATAGGCTCAGATGCAACCAAATTCAATCAAATGCAATTACTTGGCTCTGTTTGCTCTACCTAACAAACACCAACACTTTTTTGCTAAGCATTTTTTTCAACAATGACTTCTATACTCTTGTACTACAGGTGGTACCTTGCAATTTGACCATCCAGCAATTTAACAGTTGAACTGGCAGGGAGGTTGACTTGCAATTTGAACTCTGCCCTGGGATTCAACCTGCATTGGCCCTTTTTTTTGCTGATATTTCTCAATTTTACGAAGTTTCTTGCAATTTTACTGCTTTTTAATTTGACCTTAGTCTGGCAAAAGATTAGGATCAAATTGCAAGGTACCACCTGTACTGCAGCATACCAAGATTGCTTTAAAAAAGTACAATAATATCAACAGATTTTCTGCCAGGACTTGGAAAATGTGTGTTGTCCTTGAAAATGTGTTAAAGTAGCACTTGATGTGACAAAATGTTATTACCGTATTTACTTGAGTACCACAAGCACCTTTTTTCCCAAATTTCAGAAGAAAAAAAGGGGTGCACGTCATAAGCAGGTACAAAATTTTCAAGAAGTTTTAGGAAGTTATGTTTGCATTGTACTTAATTGTAATGGAGAAATTTAGAAAAAATATAACAAGAAAACATTTTTGTATTGAAAAAGTTGAAAATTCATCAGATTTTTGTTCAATTCATGCCTGAAGTCATATTTTTTGTTTTTATTTTTGAAATTTCATGGTTTTAGATTCACTAAAAATTGGGGTGCGCGTCTTACTCAAGGATAAGATTTTTTCAAAATTTTCAAGTGAAAAACCCCTGTGCACGCCTTACTTGAGGGCACGTGGTACTTGAGTAAATACGGTATATGCATGCAGTAAATGAAGAAACACTCACCCAGTAAAAGTATCTTGATGATCTGCCTGTAGGTTTTGTTCCAGTCCTTGAGCTGCTTGTCAATCTTCCTGGTGGCCTCATCATGTTCAATTCTGTCACCCCCACCAGCACAACACCCCCTCAGCATGCTCCACTTAAATATAACCTGCTTTTAAGCACTTGCTGTATTGCTAACATAGGGTCCCCATACAGAGCATCACACTGTTGTGACCTGACCCAAACCCAGCCTGGCATGCCGCCTCCGCTTGAAAAAGAAGGAGCAACCTGATAAGGAATATATAAAGGTGCTTGGGTTGGCATATATATAGTCAGATAACAAGGGAGGAAATCTTGCTGTACCATGTGCGGAATGCTGTTTACTGCCTGAATAATGAGTGAGATATATTGCATGGTGTCACTTTTGAAAACCCAAATTTGCACTTTATCAACTCAACAAGCTGCCACATCTGATGGGCATAATTGGCTGAATTCCAGGCATATTAAAAAAAAATACAAAGTTTAAAGCTGGTGACATGTTCAAGGTCCACTGGTATAAACATGGTGATTTTTTAAAAAAAAATACATAGAATGAAGAAATATAACATAAAATGCTCTATTTAAAATGCCATGATTGCTCTATTTAAACAATTCAAATGTTAAAAGCTGGTTACATGTTCAAGGTTCTCAGGTATATCCATAGTGACTTTTTGCAAAATAAAAAGCTACATTGGATGATTAAATTTATTGTTGAACGCTCAATTTGAAAGAATATATTTAATGAAGTACCGCATGAATTGTTTCCAATAAAGTGTGGCAATAAGTGAGGTGTGCATCAGAGTTGGGAACAACATTTCAAGGGAGATTTTGTTATTTGCAACTTTTCTTCCCACTTACACAAATTTTCAGAGTGAAATCTTGGTTACCAAAATCATATCCCTATACCTTCTTCTACAATTTTCCTGTGCAAATACTTTTCTTCATATCATGCACTAGTAGGAAAAAAATGTAACACACCCACAGAAAAATGTACACATATTAAATAAAAATGTATTGTTTAATCATCTGCATTTTTATTATAATTTTCTTCACATTGGATGATCACTCTGGACCTTTTTCATTAAATAAGATACTATACATGTCATAATTAATCAAATTATGATAAACCCTTTCATGCAAAGGATCCCAATGAAAAGCACTCAATGAATGCACATTTGTATTCAGTGAATCCCTTCAAAAATGTCACCAAGTTGGGCCTTGTATTATCTTCTAAATTATATTGTGGCACTAAACTTCAGTTCTTGTGAACTGTGATAACTGAAAATGTCTTCAACATTTGTCAACAATTCGTGAGCAATCAAAAGCCAACTATAATTTTAACAACTCTGTTCGCGTAGGTTATAATAAGGTCTAAGGTCATTGAATATTTGATAAGATGTACTCCTTAAAAGTGGGCCAGTGTGGATAAATCCAGTATTATACCTGCTAATTGAAGCACTTATGGGTAAATTGTAGTATAGGCATAGTTAAGAAGACATGATGATAACTTATCTGAAAGAGATATGCTTTCATATGATTCAAGCTGCACACATTTAGATTCTCAAGTCTGGGAAAAAACCAATGGTACAAACTGAGTTTTAAACTGATCAAACATAAACTGATTACTTTGGTGCTCCAAAATTGCAAAAAAAACGTATTCTGAAATTCTTAAATGAAGTTCAGTGTTTCAGTGCATTGTAATTTGATTGTTTGACATATGTAATGGACAATTTTGCATTTCTTTCAAAAGTTCCTCCATAAACATCAACTTGCGATTTTGCCCCACATAATGATGTGCTGGATGGAAAAAGTGTGTAAAATATGTCCATCATTACAATGTAAAAAGAAACTTCACCTGTAGATTATTAAATAGTCTCTCTTTATTCTCCAGCAAATTTTTAGTGCCTCAGTAGGGTGATGAAGAAGTGTGCAAAACTGGATAAAATATAGGAACAGACACATTTGCTATGTACCTGTGCACTTTACAAAAGAGGATATACAGTAACTTTATTGTCATTCTCCATTGAGAAAATAAAGTAGTGAGCCAACTATAAGAAAGTCATTACAGTAAGTGAATCCCTGTAAGACCAATGCATTTACCAAATATTTCTGGAATAAAAAAAATTGTTAGCTTTGAAACCTCTTTTGGTTAAATTTTGCAATGCCTTTGTGCCATTAATACTGGTGCTAAAATTTTGAAAACCTGATCCTAGAATGTAAGCACTAGCAGTTTTATATATTACAATGATTTTCAAAATAAATTGCCAAACTTCATGCATACAGGACATCCAAGAATGAAAAAATAAATGTTTATTCCTGAAAATAATTTGAAACAAGAATTTTTCAAGATCATGCCACACCATATTCCCTATTGCTAAAAAACGTCAAAAGCTTTTTTCGTGTACTTTCGTACTACAATTGTCGTATGGTGAGCTTCAACTGCATATATTTGGCAAGACTGTGCACAGAACATTTACACTCTCTCCTGTCTGAAGTTGGCGCCAAGGAAGATCAAGGCAGCTCAAGTTGAGCCTGGTGTTAGTGTGGAAAATGGGGCAGGCAGAAAACTGCGCAGAGAAACTAATCCTCCTTGCACGTTGCCAATCCGGTACCAGGTAAACCACCAGGTTGAAAAGCACGCGAGAAGGGCTTAAGCCTTTGGAATCCTCTCTGGCGCCGTTCTGAGGTTGCAGTCTACAGTCAGTCTTGCCAACAATATTTCAGTCAAAAATATGCACTCATCCAGGTGCCTCAAAAATCCCACAAATATCCCAAGCTTTCTGTGGGAGAATTTCTGAAAAAAAAAAATTCACGAGGTCTGCATAATGAAAATAGACATAATATATATATATATATATATATATATATACAAAATTGGGAAATTCTGTATGGCTCAGCCTGTATTAAATTCACAAGGTCTGTGCCATAAGATAGACATGGCGCAGACTGAAAAAAAAACTGTATAAGGCCTGTGTCATGAAAATTGATTTTGTGCACAGGTACAAAATTGGCTGTGCCATGAAAATATGCCCAGCATAGAGAGGTGTGAGTTATGAAGGTTTACCTGAAGGTTATTAAATTTGCAAGCCTTTCTTTTAGGATTTCCCATTTCTCAGATTGAAATTGACTTCCAGCAAAACAGCTATTTTTGCTATAGCACTGTCCCCCTTGTATTGTACAGTATTTATTATTTATAGATACCAAATAAAATATTTATTTGATAATACAATTTATTACCCTCATTTTCAATTTCACTCTTTATCTGCATATAAAACACTGCCACTATTATACATTTTTCTGCTGGTTTCCCTTATGTGGAAGATCTCTTACTCAAATAATAGCAATACATGCAGTGCATTAAAACATTGCAATTACTAAAGGAAATTTGTTTGAAGGATTGTCCCAATTGGAAGATTTTTGTTCAGTTTTCTGCATTCTGTACTTCAGCAGAAGCCCAGATATGGTATACAGTATATTAGCTCTGGTTCCAGATAACAATTTGCTTCATTATTTGATTTTGCCAGAAATTTATATCTTATAATGACCAGGGAAGCTAATAAATGAAATGCAATTAACCTACAAAGAGACATAAATGTTGTAATTCACTATAATACAAGCACTGTTTATATTGCAATTTTTATATTTATAAATCTCTACCAGCTAAATGTTTTTGTAAAAATTGCAAGCGCTGCTATAATGTTGAGGCTGGAAGTGCAGCAGAAGTTCACCAATAATATGTATTTAAAAATCAGCAGGAAAGAAGAAGTTTGTTGGTAACTCTGGGGGTAGCTGGCCCCCATTGTTGTAAAAAGTGATGGTCAACATTCCCGGACAGCTTAAGCCAGCTTAAACCCCTCCTGTGGTTTTCCTCCTGGTTGATCTTCCATTCCCTGCCAATCCTGGCCATGGTGGTGTTCAGTCTTGCCAAAAAACCTTTCTGTTCATCTTGAACAAAAATATTTTCCTTGGAACAGATTATTATTTTTTTCTCAAGACACATGGTAGCATTTTCAAGAAAAAAACCCTCTACTTGAAGTGTCAAAATTAGTGCTGGAGAAATTGTTTAATGAAAGACCTTTGGAGCTTATTCCTCAGAAATAATGTTTTTAACGAATTTGATTTAATATGATTTCATTAATTGATATGTCAATAATTAATTTTATGCACAGTCCTTTCAGAAAATCCTCACAAAAACATTCTTTGTGTCCAGAGTCCAGACAATGTTTTGTTTTACATAAGTTCCACTAAGAAGACTCCTTGTACGGTTTTATTTGAGAAGAAGGAAAATCTGAAGCAAGCCGTACACCTTGCAAGTATTTATTTAGGATAATCGAGTGGACAGAAATTAATTTAGTACTTATAAGTC